CCCATATATATATATATATATATATATATATATATATATATATATATATATATATATATATATATATATATATATATATATAACGCCATCTGGTCATGGGTCAATGTGCATGTAAAAATACATGAAATGCGTATGAAATACGTTAATAAAATCTCTCGGTACGTCATAAGACCATTATGCCTCTGATTAATAGCATGAAATAAAATTTACCAACTTACATATTTTTGAGACCCATGAACAGATAATAGAATAATATGACACATGGAAAAATAAGAATATATATATCTCTAGCATTTCTACGAATAGAGTAATTTATGGAAGTTGTGCATTCGCTCGTTTTGCTTGTATTGTATAGATCATGCCAAAAAAAAAGAAGGGATAGCATTAACATACCTGGAGTAGGAAAAAATCCGTTTCCACATTCTCAACTTAATTAATGTTCAAACTGTTACAATCATCATCCTCATAGTTCCGACCAAACAAACACCACCCTCCTCTGTTCTTTGTAGCCTCCACCAAATCCATTATTCCAGCTTTTTCCAATTTTTTTCCTTGTTGGAAAAGCATCTAGGTTCTTAGATATCTCAATGAAAGCCAAAATATCCTCTTCCAGCTCCATATCGCCTTCACTCCCCGATCCTTTCCTACACAAGCAATATGCACTGTCCTTGGCTCTTTCCTTGCCAAGCTTAAAAACCAAAAAAGAACATACTTCTTGGTTAAAAATTGCAGCTTTTCTTGCTAAACAAATCGTTCAATTAGTTTTTCCTTTGAAGTATCAATGGTGAAATCAATAAGTTTCTTTAATTTCCTCTATTTTTGGCTTATGGTGTAACCACTACAAGAAAGTAGGGATACGACGAAATTATATAAATGTCGTAAAAGGTCACATAAATATCACAAAATTATTCTTCGACATTTATTTTATATTTGCCTCAAATGTTGTTAGTTTCAATGTCGTTTATTTTCCAACATTTATGTAAATGTCGACAAATAACTAGCGACATTTATTTACAGACATTTATCAAAATGTGAATAATCAAAGGTATAAATTCAATCTCATTTGCGACACATATAGAAATATCGGTTAATTATCAAACTGATTTTATTTACGACAAGTATAGAAACGTTGGCAAATTTTTCTTCTTTATATATATATATATATATATATATATATATATATATATTAAATTTAACCTGATATTCAAGGTACCACAATTTAAGCACTCACGGATTCATGAAAGAGCTGGGAATCTACAACATAATCATAACATCAAATCTTTACATCACTCCTACTGTAAAAGATGATAAAGTACAATAATAGAATTCAAAGTCATAGAAAAAGCCATAGAAAATATTCATAAAAGTTAAACAATTGGTATGAAATCTTTAACATATGGTTGAATGTCTGGCCTCTATTCTTGACAATAGATGAGTAGAATGAGACTGGTAGAGTATCTTGTGATACGCTTTGGGGTGATTGTTACTCTATCACTTGGCATATAGATGGTATACGGCATCTTCCCAATCTTGAAAACTTCTTGTTTCATTCTGTATTTAACTCTCCCAACCTTTGAAAGCTTCATTCTGTGTTTAATTGGGAGACTGCATCTTCCCATTCTCTCATTAGCTCTGCCAAATTTTGCAAGTTTCATTCTCTTTAGTCCTCCCAATTTTCTTTGACTTGCTTCCCAATAATCAAACTCCCTATCATTCTCTATATCACAAACATCAAAAGCCATGTATCAAGAGAATAAGTGATGAAAAATGGAACAAGAAAAAATGAAAAAAAGACGAAAAGGAAACAAAGTACGTGGGACATGTATGGCATTACCAACTTTACAGAGCTATGTCAAGAAATTCCATTAGTATTCCAACTCCACCAGCACTAGCAACCAAAGCCTGAATTGTAAGGCCAACTGATTGGATTGAAAACAATGAATAGTAAAAATGTGAAGGACATAAGGCAAAACGAAAAGCAAAACAGAGGCATATCCGATATTTTTAGACATTCAAGCTATAAGCTCCAATAATATATTAGTGTTACTCCTCTCATAAAAGTCCAAAATAAAGTATGAAGCTCTATATTCATGGCTTCATTAAGTCATGCCGTTCTTGTATAATCATGAAAGATATATGAAGTCGAACAACCAGCAATGTCAGCGACATGGAACAACTACCATCAATCATTTCTTTTAAATCAGTTATAACTACCATCAAACATTAACCAAAAACTAGCAACAATCAGTAGACAATAACAATGAGCAACAACCTACAAAGTAATTTATGAAGTTATTCAAATAACTTGTAACAAATTCTCATCCTAGAATCCTCTGTCCTCGAATAGAATGCACTCATGTGAATATTAATTACCAATTCAAGATAGTGAGATCCCATCATGGTCCGCTAATAGCAATTTATCCAAAAAGTTCTTTTCTACCTTATAGAAAATATATAATAAAGAAAAGGAGAGTGAAGCCATAAAATTTAAGATGTACTGTTGTCATCACACATATCCAAAGATGACTATTAGAGCACAAAGCAAATGAACAATGCTGAAACAAAATATCACTAACACTTTTTAACTACTTGCTTATTACTTTGTCAAAAATGTGAGTTGGTTGACACTCTCATTTTGCCCAATTTGCACTCCAAAAAATAATAACGCACAATAGATAAAATTATGAAATAGTTCTATCCCCTTTGATGTATCTATGCTGGGTACCGAGCATTAGCAAACTTATGCATAATGAGATGGTATTAAAAACAAATCAAAGGAAAATGAATTAGTAATATAAGTTTCATCCAGGACAAGGCCTAAATCACTTTAAAGATGGATAAACTTTTCAACAATAGCAATAACTAGAATAGAGAAAGATTCTTCTTACACGATTAACACTCTCCACGAGCAAGCAATAGCCAAATTCCTGAATCTCTCATTGTGCTGTGGCAGAGGAAGGGGAAAACAAGAAAAAGAACCTGAGAAGATATTATAAAAGCTTGTCTTCAAATAGTCAACCTTGTTGAAATCAATCAAACAAGAACTATCAACTTGAACTAAAGAATTAGGCGAGATTTCACAATTAAAGCCAAAAGGTTCACCAAAAAAAAACTTCTGATCACATTTGTTGTCCTATATTTGGCACTAGATCTCTCAGTCGTTTCTCTTTCGTTTGGGAATAATAGGATTGAGGGTTTTTGCTTTTAGTGAGATTGGGTAAAAGAGGATGACAAGTATGAGTGTCAGAGAGGCAATGAGTCAGATGAATTACCAACAGATGTTGAGGATTGACGGCATCTCTTTGTTTTGTGTATTCAGAATTCAATTGTAGGCACACGGCAAAGAGGATGATGATTTTACTATTTAGTTAGTGCCCTGAAATATTGCTAATTTACTCTTTTTATTTATAAAACTTAATTACGGAAGTGATCAAATCCCCCACTTTTAGTATATAAAAGTCGTTAAATACCGACAGATGTTCTTACACTTAAATCAAATGTCACCTTATTGTTGACATTTTTCATTAGCAGTCGTTATTTTTACGACGTTTTTCTGAAAATGTCAAAAAATAAAACTTTTACAGTCATTTATTGCAAGGGTCATTAAATAAACGTCGCCATAACCCCGATTTCTTTGTAGTGAACATGGCAAATCTATGTGACTAGGTACTTCACTTGATTTATCCGTATAATATGGATCCCATGATTAATGTCAAGCTAAGTTCGTATCACTGTAGATACGGTGAAGTGTTGTTTGAGGAATAAATTACAATTGCTTACAAGAAAGATTACAGTTCATCTGTTCCTTCCCAAGGTTTTTCTATTTAAACAATAGAATCATGAACAATACCACTGTAATATAAAGTTTCTAGCCTAACCTAAATGTTTGTGCCATTGAAAACAGAGATTAATGCTAATAAAGGAATGGTATCAGCATCCTAAATTGTGACACCACCGTTAGCATTCCACATTAGTCATATATTACTTTTGTTGTCATGGTCCCACGTGGACAAGACAACTCTTATACTTATCCTTTTAAATTAATAATTAACTAGTTATCCACATAATTAAAAATTATCTCAACTTATTTAAAATACTACGTACTTTTAACACACTTCACGTACCCTACTATCATGGTCATATATATATATATATATATATATATATATATATATATATAACGGTGTCAAGGTTGTTAAACTTCCGGGGTGTAACATGATGTTTTGGTTCAAGTAACCCCTTATTTATAGGAAAATGATGATGAAACTGACGGCACATTCAATGCTTCTGGGAAAATGGATCGGCGGTGCATTCAATGCTTCTGGGGAAACGGACCGGCGGTGCATTAAATGCTTCTGAAGGAACAAACCGACGGGACGTTTCAATCACTTCGAACGCTTATGTCACAAGCATGATGTCATCACGAGAGGCTCGAGATAATCGAGGTCAAAGTCGTTTCATATCATTTTATTCTAAGAAATGCGAGGACTATCTGTATACGGCCAAAATCGGGGAGTTCGACTTTGGGGCTGCTGTGGCACTCCACGCCCGACCTCGAGAATCTTGAAGCAGAATTTGAAATGTGACCCCGAGGTGCGTCCCTCGAGGGAGCATATCAAGGATCAACAGCTTTGTATGATGATTTTGGACTTAGGCGTGCATCCAGATTCGGATTTGGAGGTCCGTAGGATAATTTAAGGCGTTTTGGTGAAAGCTGGAAAAGTTGAAGTTTGGAAAATGGAGAAGTTTGACCAATAGTTGAATTTTGTGGTATCAGGGTTGGAATGCAATTCTGAGAGTCGAACAGCTCCGTTATGTCATTTTCGACTTGTCTGCAAAATTTGGCGTCATTCCGGATTGATTTGATCGGTTTCGGCACAAGTTTTTGAAGTTGGAAGATTTTGAAGTTCGTAGTTCGATTCGTGGTGTGATTCGTCGTTTTGGCATTGTTTGATATGATTTGAGACCTCGAGCGAGTCGTGTTAGTTTATATGACTTGTTTATGTGTGTAGACGGGGTCCTGGGGGCCTCGGGTGTGTTTCGGGTTGTATTGCGCTCTTATTTGATGTTTCAACGTCGTTTCTTTAGGAACAAAGGGTACCACATTGAGAAAATGTGCTCCAAATTCAGTTTTATTGAACCATTAGATCCGTATCATAATTACCGAGCAATATAAAAAAGAATCATCGAATTTGGACATCGTATGAGGAAGTTATGCTCATTTTTGTGTCGGAAAAAACTGCTGCTTCTGGTATGGTCGCAATTGCGAACATATCCATCGCAATTGCGATGTCCAGTTCGCAATTGCAAACTTTTGTCGCAAATGCGACCTTTTCCAGCCCTTCCATTTTCGCAATTGCGAAGGCTTTCTTTGCTTTTGTGAGTGTTCGCAGTTGCGAACCCTGGATCGCAAATGCGACATCTGTAGCTTGTTTTCAACTGTGTAACTCGAGTTTTTGCTAATTTTTCATATTCTTTGAACCCTAACTCCGAGAGTGGGCGATTTTGAGAGAAGATTTTCATACCAAATCATTGGGTAAGTGTCTCTAATCAATTTAAAACTGTATATTGTGATTATATCTTAGATTTAACATCAAATTCATCAGAATCTAAAGTAAAATTTGGGAAAAAAATTGTGAAATCTTTCAAAGATGTGGAATGATGATTTGAGGGACCAAATGGTGTCGGAATTAGATAATTTTTGTATGGGTGAACTCGTATCGTAATGAGTATTCAGTTTTTGTAAATTTTGTCGGGTTCCGAGGTGCGGATGTTGCAGCCAAACGCACACGCAAGTATACGCGGTCGTCAAGTGATAAAGTGACTAAAAGTCGGATGTCGAACCCACGAGGACTTGTGATTAACTATTAACTAAATTAGACTATCCTAATTATCTAAACAAGAATTAAATCTAGAAGTATATTACTCTAATCAAATTAAATAAAAAGAAAACAAATAATGAATTTTGAACAAAGGAAGAGCAGATTTTTATGTATCAATGTGATGAAAACGATCTAGGGATATGGGCTATCTAACAATCCTATTATATTCTTCAATTGAATTGACTAACTAATTTATCTAGTTTATTGGTTAACAAGGTTAATATTGCTCATAAGAATCTGTCGAGTTCTTACTCGCCTATTCAAGCTAACCTAACGCCTATATGTCTATGGAGTTAGAATCAGCAAGAACGCATTTATAATTCTTGTAAAACAACCAAGCAAGACAATTAGGTATATGTCTATCCTAACCGCGAATCCATTCCCCGATACCCAGGTTCAAGTACTTGCTCTACTCAACCCTATATGCAATCTTGAATTCCAACTTTAGAGTTCAACTCTAGATTCGTAGATAGTATTCGATTGGTGATGAAGAAATCAAATAATTAAGCACAAGATTGAATAAATAAACCAATACGATAAATTAAGAAATCAAAATCAATATCCGAATAACAATAGTCATGAAAGAACCACAACCCTAGAACGTGAAGTTTAGCTCCACATAGACATGGTAGCAAAATGACAAATCATACAAAGAAACATAAAAATTACAAAGGTTGGTGGAAGAAAAGAGGAAACCCGACCTCCACGGCGGCTCTGTGATCTCCCTTGGTCAAAAGTTACTCTCAAAAACGTTCTCCCCCTCCATATTGTCTTTAAGGACTATTTATAGGTGTAAGATAAAAGCCTAGGCGAAATAACCGAGTCCAAAACCAAAAAGGAGACGCAATAGACTTTTATAACCTGAAACACGCTCCCACCTAGCGACAGGCTGCGCGTCGCGAGCCTTAACGCGAGGATGAGATAATCACGTCGCCCAGCTATTTCTCCAAATCAAAACGTTGCCTGCCTCTTTATTCCTTGTAGTGTTAGGCTGCCTAACTTCTCATTCTTTCCTGTTTCTTTCTCTTTCCTTTGCCTTTCTTTCTTTTTGTGTCTTCAATTATTGTTTAATTATGACATCATAATATTTTTCATTATCAAATAATCACAATCCGTTCTTGTAGTGCATAAAATACACATAAAATCTCTACTTTGCTCCTTATTTCGTCTTCAACGTACCTACACATAAAATAAGCTCAATTAAACATAAATATAGTATAGTTTATCATCAAAGTCCCAAAATGTAAGGTAAATAATGCATTAAAAATATGTAATTATAGCCAAACATCACTACCCCACACTTAAACGTTGCTCGTCCTCGAGTCAACTAACAATTCACACTATCCTCGAGCACTTTGTTTTTACACAATTGAGGCACACTACACCAATGACCATAGTTGATAGCTACTATTAAACTTTAGCATATGCAATCTCATACACTTCCCTTTTCTTATGCCATACTTCAAAAGTATTCAAACAAAGACAACATGCTCATAACAATCCTAGCTCAAAAACCGATTCAATGTCACAATGCACTCATGGATTGAACACTCAACATCATAGAGAAATCTAATAACGTTACCTATCCCTCATTAAGTCATGTGCCGTCACAAGAACAAGAGAATACGTTGAACTCACACAATCAAATCTCATGATCAAATATAGTTTAAGGACTCATATATATATCAAAGAAATCTCTCACTCTCACAAAAGAAGTCACATGCATGCACTTGGTACCATAGACTTGCCCATAATGTAAATCTCTACTAATGTAGGCTCACTCGATCTAAAATCAATTAGGACTTTTTCATGGTTGTAATGCGGGCTAAGGGACGGGTATGGTATATTTAGGATAGTGGTTCACCCTCCTAAGCACTTTAACACACACCAAATAACTTAAGCGCAAATTCTTTAACACCACTTCAATTCAACAAATAATATCACCCCCAAAAACGTTTTCTTCTTCTTTAAGCACTACTTTAATTCATACCCACTAGCAAGAACAAGACAACAATTTATTCATCTCTATTTTTCTTTTTCTTTTTTTTTTCTTGAGATTATTTTTTTTTTCAATTTCCGCTAGTGGTGTATTATTTTACAAAACAAGTGCACCTTTCTTCCTTTTATTGGTTCCACTCAAAAGCCAGCCCACACTTAGTTCCTTCTTACTTCTTTTAGCGCTCATCTCACAGTTAAAGTGCTTTGAGAGGAAAAATGATCAAAACACTGTCAATTAAGAATAAAAAGGGTATATGTTTGTAATGTGGGTACCAAATAAAAGTCTATAGGCTCAAAAGGGTTAACTAGGGATAAATTTTATTTATGATAAGCAATAAGCTCAAAAAGATCAAAGGAAGGCTAAAATCATTTTTTAAACTGAGCATCACCTCAAATTTCGCTTCAACTCACATACCGGGCAAGTTCTAGACACAAGTACAATACATAGACTACACAAAAACCTCACCACACATAGCACATGACTCACTGTGGACGGTCTCATTCCGACTCTCAAACAATGCAAGTATTCACAGAGCCACAAGATATTAAGCATTAAGCACAAAGTGAACACAAGTCAAGAAAATGAGACATAGGTGTC